CTGCTGCATTCAGATTTTTGTGCGCCTTTTTTGACGTTTTAAGTTTATTAATGACTGCCTTAAATCGTTTAAAAAAATACAAAATTCGTGTATCGCAACATAAATCATGCAAATGCTAAGAATCTGCTCATGGCTCCTCAGCCATATATTACCTTGAAATCTGTGACATTTGTGTGTCAAAATGTTGCTCACCTCTAAGGTGAAATGTTTACGTATGTATGCATATGTGTCCCTTCGTGTGCGCCAGTGGGTTTTCCTTTATTTTTTGTTTTTTCGGCTTAACCCTTTTGTAAATTGTTACATTTTCGCACGTCTATATGCGACTTGTATTTCTGACTGCATGTCGGTGTGTGTGTAAGTATAAATTGAGGTGTTTTTGGGTGCGCACCTCAGGTTTTTAGGCCATTTGAAGAGCGCATGCATCTACCCCATTAGTATATGTGTATTTTATACATGTGTGTGTGTGTGGACACGTTTCCCATTAGACTACAGACTGAAAATGTATTTTCGTATGCTTTAATGGACTTTTCTGGTTAAGTCTGGAATAATTTAGTTCTTTTGCATTGCTTTAATCTTTATCCGTTTAATTGGCTGACCAGCTTTTGAAAGTAGGTTTGCACTGATAGGAAAATGTAGTTAAGCATAACTTGCATTTTATGCGTGTAGCCAACAAATCCTCAACGTGTGTTTGCACTCATAGCCAAGCTGTTCAAACTAGTGTGAAGATCTTTTACTTAGATGAAATGAAGATAAATATTTGATTTAAGAAAAAAAATATTCAATAAAATATTGGAGAGATTTAAAATCTCCTTTAATATTTTTATAAAAAGAACAAAAAAGTAGAAACATAAGTTTATAATACGCCTGAGCTGAAAACAACACAGGCACCTATAAAACGTTTTTCATTTAAAAAAAATCCCTAACAAACATTTTTGTTTCTGATTTTCCACAGACTAACAGGGGCTGAATACGCCTCTATAGACATATATATATATATATATATATACATATAGATGTATATGCGCCTACTGTAGCTCTTCAATATTCGGTTGTAAGCCGCTTTATTGCCAGCCTGGGGCAATATGCAAACTCTGTTGCAATCCCCAGACAGAAAAACGCTTGCCTATGCAAATTTGGAAAGCATCAAAACAGCCAAACAAGCGAACACACTCAAATCAAACGCGAGCAACATTTCCAAATGGGAGTAACGGCCAGAAGCAAACCCTTTTTGGTTTTTGCTTTTTGCTTTTTGCTTTTTGCTATGCATGGAAAACAGTAGTTCGATGAGCAAAAAATTGAAGCAGTTTGAACAATTGGAAGCATAGTTTATTTTATTATTGTTTGTATTGGTTTTTGTTTTGTTTCTGCTCTCTCCCAGAGGTGCACGTGCCTGAAAAGCAAACAATGCGGTCGGACAAAAGCCCCATCAGAAGAGCAAACTAATTAAAATTAAAGCCACACTTTAACACCATCTGGGCAATAACTCATCTTTAATGCAGCACGGCAAATTCACTTGCATTGGCTTTTGGCAAATTTATGACCGTAATAAAAGCCAGGACAATAATTCTAATTTCCCGTTCAAGTGATAAGGCCAACCGTAACCATAAACCTGCACACCAACACCCCAATAATATACAATTGCAAAGTATTAAAGAATACTTCATTCTGTTTCGGCTCCCCCAATTTAACATTTCGAATGGCATCATAAATTCCAACCAAATTTCGAAATAACTTAACTTTTTTGTAAGTCTGTTGTGCGAGTGTGTGTGACATATCTCCGGGATATATCTTTGGAGTAGTTAAGCCAATCGTTGCCATACATTTCAAATGATTTATACCGAAAAGACATAAAATACAATTTAACCTATTTAGACAATCGGCAAGATTTACTAAATAGATTGAAATTAAAATTAATTTAATGCGCCTCAAACCTAACACGCCAGCAGCATTAAAGGTTTTTTGCTACAACAACTTTAATGGAAGCAACCAATCATCGGTCTCAACCAAGTCGGTTGTAAACAGAAACCGCAGCCAAGAAAACGCATGTAACAAGCTTCAAACAAGTTAGTTGGCAAGCCAGCTTGACTTGCAAAGCAAACTTTCCATTCCTTTAGGGACCCTTGTTGAACACTTAGCTCTATTAATAATGTTATATTGTAGCTGTCGTTATTGTTGTTGGCCCACTGGTCTCGCCCAGTTAGTGAAGCTTGCACTTTAAGCTTACACTTCTTGAGCTATTTATCATTAGTAGCAAAGTGTTAATGTTCATGTACAGCAAGCATAAACAAAGTGAGGCAGGGCCGTTCGTTGTTTGCTGTGTGCAGAGCAGCCAATCAGTGCACTCCCACTTACTCAATTCCATATATACACATATTGTCCATACAAGTGCATATATATGCTTAAAACGTCAAGTGAATTGGTAACTCAATGTGCTCTGAATTGCAGCTGCATGTGTAGTCATGGTTATTGGCTTAATATTTCTTGTTATGCAAATTTGTTGGATTGCTTTTGAAATTAGCAATTATTTTTGCATCAAAAGCAGCCATAGGATTTCATGATTATTATCTTAGGCAGCAACATTTATGTGGCTGTCATTGAGAGGTGAAATTAACTTAGGATTGACCCAACTACCAGGCTCTAGAGTTTGGCTCTCGTTCAATTGAAAACTTCTCAGGGCTTCAGGTAAATCTAAAAATTGCTGTATATATACTTATTTGTGTTCATTATATACTGAGTCCCATATGTAGATATGCATGAACTGACATGTTAATGACTTTTTGGGACAGGCATGTCAAATTGAAATTGTTATTGCTGGCAGCAAAATGGCCACATCAGTCTTACAACGTTGCAATATTTTGTGTGCACTTCTTCTACTTGCCACTAACATCATTCTGTGGCACACATCTTTCGAACATTCGGCTAATCCCCGACCGATCCAACTGAGCTGGTATTCCCTGGTTGTCGGAGACTTCAAGTGCTGCAGTTGCAGCTGCAGCTGCAGCCTCTTGGCAGCATTTTTTTATCCTATGCTGCTCACATTGTCACTGCCGGCAGCCCAAAGATGACAGTTTGGATGGCAAAACGTATATCACAAAAGCACATGGACAGATTCTGCGTGAAGGCTGCGGGAACAAAAACTGCAAGCAGGCAGTAAACAATATATCTTTGCATGTAAGTATGTATGTACGGGGCGAAGCCAGCTGCCGAGAATGTGATAAAGCGCATGGGTAGGTGGAGCGACTGAATGGTCGTGGGCGTTTACATTGCCCTGAATTTGTCGAGCAGTCGAGCACTTGAATCGTTTTCCTGGCATTCTCATTCGTTATACGGAACCGTTTTTACTGTTACTCGCAAAAAAACATCAGCTTTTGACATTTGTGGAGTGAAAGAAAAAATATATATATTGCAATATATTAACCCAAACAATATAGTCGCCTTGTTGTTGTCAACACATTTCAGGTGAGCATTCGAATCAGCACAATTCTTTTTGTCAATTGCTTATGGAGCACAGTTTTTAATATGGATATGGATTATATCGATAAAGCTAATATACTATACGTATTCATAATTTATAGAGAACTAATTTCATGTGTCTTATTTTGCCTACTGAAGCCTTGACCTAGTCTCCCTCTCGATTACAAAGTAAACATAATTATATATTAGATAAAAGGCATCTTAACTATACGCATTATGGAAATACCTACGGGCAAATCTAACATTGATTTGATATATATTGACAGCAAGATTCTGATTGAGACAGATCACTATTTGACAATAGGGGCTTCAAATAAATAGTTGGACCACAATTCAATGGAATATTGCAGTACAGCGGCATCAACTCAACAATCTCTTGCCTATTGTCGATATTCAATCAGTGTAAGATACGCAAATCGCCTCAGCTTACACTGTGCTACAAATTATGGCTATGTGCAAGAACATATATTTCATATTAATAATAATGCTAATGTTTCATTTGTGTTGATTTGACTTCCCTTGAACTCAAAATTAATTAGTAATAAATTATTTAGCAAGCCTTTTGCAGTTTATTTTTAATTACATTTGAACAGGATTTTGTTTTGTACGGCATAATTTTTGGAGTGAATTAATGTATTTCGGTTTGCATGTGGTTTGCCCACTGCCCAACGGATTAGCGGTATGCGTTCGGACGGAGTGCACAAGTACGAGCGCAGTTACCAGTTGCCCTCGAACTGCAGCAGGCTTGTGGCATGGGCCGCTTTGCCAGCATTCTTATCCAGCCACCGATAACAGTGAATAACTACTGTGAAAGGCATAATTTAAGTGGGTGCGGGCTGTTTACCGCATTTACGGCACTTACCCAAACCATTCAATGGCCACGCTCCATCATCGTGGCTGCAGCGCACAGCACATATTTCTCATGATTAAAATTGCATGTGTGGCAAGTGGTTGGCTGCACTTGTTGTTGGGCGGTGGTGGTGCGGGCGGGCAGTAGCTTGCCCCCTGAGCTGGCTCAGCTCAAATGCGCAACAATTGCCCAGCCCCCGGCACAACTGTACACTCCATACATATAATATCCGAGCTAAGCGGTTTGTGATTTGCCATTGCCCGCTTTTAGGCATTCAAGCAAATTGTAATACAATTAGCGTCATTTACATGGTATGTTGAATTGTTGCATGCGTAGTCGAGTGTCTGTGTGTGAGGGCGCATGCACAAAAGCTGCTTAGTCCACACACCTTGCGGCTGTGGGAAGGCCCCGTCCTTCGCCAATTTATGCGCACTTGGTTTTCAATCAGCTGTCTGCTTATTAAATAATAATGTGCTGAGCACTCAAACTGAACCGATGCTGCGGGTACCCTGGCAACAAGCGGCAGACTCACCAGAGACACATTTTATATCCTGATTTATTATTTGATTGCAATAGAAACTCCCAAAATAATATCTAATGTGACTTTATTAGATTTAACATAAAATTTAAAAGTCAGAGGCTCTTTCTGCAAAGATTGTTTTGGGTTTAGAAACATTTAATTTGAGGTGTGCTGAAATAGACCTCTTGTCTTCGAACACGGTCTTCTGGTAAGCGACAATTTGCCCGATACTTTGCGTTTGACAGGCCCTTTGGTGCGTGGCATTATGTACTTGGAGTATATCTTTTGCGCCTCTTTCAGTGCCTCGTGCAGCTCTGTTTCGCTGCTGCGAATGCCACTGGGCTTGAGTGGAGCTTGATAGATAATCAGTTCCATTGGTATGCCGGGTGGCAGCTTCTTTCCGCTTTTGCTCAAAACCGTTTTGCTGATGCACATCAGCTCGAGAACCTCAGATTGACGTAATAATATATAGTTCTCATCGTTGGGTAAAAAGTCGCTGGGATTCTGAAAGCTGGTGTAGTCGCGCACCGTGCGAATCGAACTACGTGAACTAATATAGTGACGATCGTAGACGGTTAGTGTGTAATACACCTTGCGAGTGGTGACAGGTGCCACCAGCCACAGCACATAGATGTCGGCCTTGCCTTCATTTGTCAAGACCATTTCGCGTTCCACCTGTTTGTCCTTCATTTGAGCAAACCAGCTACTTCGACAGACCATCATCATTACAGGCAAGTAATCGTCGTACTTATGATAACTGTTTAGCAGACCCGAATTCGGCAAGCTCAGATTGTCGACAGCCGGTCGCGTGTACATCTTTCCTTTCATACCTCCATACATGAGACACGCTACGCAGCAATTATCGCCGTATTCTAAGCCAGTTGGATCAAAGCACAGCAGCAACGGCCGATGATCAAATATCTCTGAGGTCGTGCATTTAGCACTATTTGTGTGCTTGTGCAGCATGTGCATCATTATATTGGATGGAAATATGATATCAGAGCATTTGCTCACAGGACAGTGGCCTGGCATTCGGGATAATTGATGCACATCATTCACGCGTCTTCGTCCCTTTCGATCTTTATCTTTTGTGTATTGTACTCCGTTTGCTGATTCCATGTTCCTCTTAATATTCTCTTGCAGATTCCTAATGTAGCTTTTTTTAAATATTTTCAAAATGAAGTCATATTTATTTAAAAAAAAAAGGAATTCAGTAATTGTTTAGGGTTCGACTCAACTGCAAACTAAATGCTGTTTTTCTATCTTGATGACACGAAACACGAATCATGACCTACTAGCGGAAACAATATACAATTCTGTGATATTGCTAACTGAAATATAAAACAAACTTTCTGCGTTTTATTTTAAGCATAAAATAGAACAAAATTAAAGTTTTTGTTAGTGTTTAGATATTCTACACTTCGGCATTGCAATTAAGCCAGGAAGTGGAGGAAGATTCTTCTACCACGTAGCAACTAAATATCCGCACTCTTTGGTCTTGTGGCACGTTAAGCCTCTGCAGCATATATGCAGACATATGCACTAAGAGACACAGCTGCTGTACAGCATCTCTAAAGCTACTAAATTGCCGTTTTTTCTCAGATGCGACTGCTGCAGAGTATAAAAACTACCAAGTCTATGCGTGTGTGTGTGTGTGTGTGTGTCTGGGTGTGGAGAAATAAACAAAAAACGGAATTAGTCCACAAAAGGCTAAAGCAAAGTGCCAAAATATTCGGTTTTACTTTTTTTCTTCTTTGAGTGCCTCAAAAACCACAAAACTTGAAATGCCCAAAGCTTTGAGCCAGCTGTTGCTAACTTAACCATTGTTGACGTTAAAAGCCTTTCGACTAACACAACGAAAGAGTCAAAAAAGCCACAGCTGAAAGCATTAAGACAGTGTGTAAAGCCTCAATATTTACTGTGTGAAGGAATCGAGTCTTTATTCTGATTATTGTTCTCAGAGTAACCGAATTAGTATAAGCGGAGTCACTTTATATAATATTTCGCTGGCAAAAGTTGTTAAGACGATAAGAAAAAATATCTAGTGCAACGCTATCACCACGGAGCCAGCAGTCAAAGTTTGAGCTAGCTCCTGTGTTGGTTTATGCAAATAGGCATAAACTAATTTTAGATTGTATGACAGTCGCAAATTAATTCAAATTGAGTGATCACCGCAAGGCAAACAATGCCAACAATGCGGCCAAGCAGCGGATAGTGTGAGGACCGAGCCAATTGCAGTCCATATACTTAAACGCCCGACGCCGGACCTAGTGTGAGAGAAATTGTTAGCAGAGCCTCTAATATATGGCACAATATATATGCCATAATATATGCAGCCTTATTATACACACACACACTCTCTCTCAGCAGCAGTTACAGGCACTCGAATGGAATCGCATGCACATGCATTGTATATCAGTGCGATGGGTGTGGGCCCTCGCCTGGGTCAGCTGGTGCCGGTTCACCAGGTCAGGCGAGGTCAAACGCCATTGTTCAGCAATCTTAAATTTCCATTGCATGTTGCTAACAAAATTAATGTGTGCCTGGACAAACGGTGCTTAAACTGAATTCTAGCTGACTTTTATGCATACCAACATACTTGGCCATTAGGGTTCGAGCTCAATGTAGGTTAATGTTGGCGGCTTATCGGTAATATTAATATAATTATTGGATTTAAATTCCAAGTCTTGCAGCTTTAATATCGTTTGCTTCTGGGCAAATGGTTGTTTGATTTGTCAACAGCAGTTAACTGGCATTATTGCTCAACTGTTGGCCGAGTCATGTCATCGACGGACATTGATCTGAGACAAAGGACTCAGACGTCTAACAGGCCGCCCATTTGTCATTGGAACAGCCCGACAGGCTCAACCTGGGATGCTGTTTGCTGTCTGTAGCTGGTCTGCAATTTGCGTCACGCACATCTTGGAGCCAGCTTCCGCTGTTCCTTGGCCATGTGTCATAAGCAGCCGACCGATAATCAGTCAAACTGTACGGCGTGCTCTATCCAGGGGACGTTGAATCTCTGGCTCTGGATTTCGCTGGTCACGTAGCCAAAGTAGCCATTTTTGTTTGATTTATTTACCTGGCACGCTGCTAACTGTTAACTGTCATCTGTGGCGACATTAGCCACTCGCAGCCTGACCAAGATGATGCTCTGCATGTGTTTGTCTGAATATTGGGGTTTGGTTAACAGCAGCTGTGACCAAGCTACAGGCTGGGATAACGCCACGCATGCCAAATATCTGAGCGTCACGGTTGAACAACTGTCTGACTAGGTAGGTGACTGGCTGACTGACTGCCTGACTGGTTGAATGAGTGACTTTTTGTTGTTGTTGTTGTTGTTGTTGCTCGTGTCCACTGTCTTGGTTATCAACTCGCATCCACGTGTGTTTTGCGGTTTGCTTTGTACTCAGCGCACATGGCGTACACGTATCGTCTATTTGTTATGCTCTTTGGCTCTGTGCGCAAATTCAATTTGAACGTTGGCCTTGCTGCATATGTTTGTTTATTTAGGGCAGCATCCACCGACCTAGCCAAACTCCATCTTTATTTGCAGTCCAGCGTGTAAACAGCTTTAATTCTACGTTTTTTAAATCTTTATGAACTGTGTAAGTAGAGGACCAAATTGCATGAGAGGCAAGCGCAGATTGTAAATGGAGCTGGGTCAGTTTATTAATGCCAGGGCAAAAGGGTATTCATTAATTTTTCAGCTAAGCCAAAGATAATTTTAAAGCCTTTTAAAAATTGTTATACAGTATCTTTTAATTGACTTTAATTTGGGCGCACGGAAGTATTTAATGTTGGCTAACCAAAGAAATAGCCTGAATATTTTGTAGTTATGTATCTTATTTTTGTAGGTTCGTTAGCGGGCTTACTTGCTTGTTTTTCCCAAGTAAGCTGAATGTATATGTTTGTTAGGGCTTGGGCAATGTTCTTTTGAAATTAGTTTATCGCGTGCCGCCTGCATAATTTGTGCCCAAATTAAGTATACGCCATGTGTTGCTGAGCTGCCGATTTGCATGTTAGTGGAGTGGCAATTTCGGTGTCTACTGCTGTCCTTCGCTGATTGCAGCAACAAATTGCAAACTTATTAAGTTTATTAAAAACAACAGCAGCTACAGAGACATCACTGGTAAAAGTAGGAAGCCAGAATAAATTCCACTTTGTTGTGCGCTTAACTTTCGCTGCTGCAACTCTGCATAATTTACTTGAAGCATTTTGCAAACAATGCAAACAGCACTGAAGCCCCCAACCCGTCCAGCTGCCAAGTACCAATTTGCAGTTTCAACTGTGAGTTGCAAGTTTTTCGCAGATGCTCGTTAATGTTTGGGCAGTTTTTAGTTGCCAGCAGCTCGGCAGCTCAGCAGCTCGTCCAATGCTCGGCCCCTGTTATTCATTATCAAAACAAGAGGCCAGCAGCCTTTTAGTGTCCTCGCGTTGTCATAGTCAGCTCTTCGAGGCATTTGCATGGCCGCCAGTTTGTCTCGTTATGTAGTGGGTCTGCTTCATATTGTTTTCATTCCAATTCTACTTTAAATTTTGGCCTTACTTCTTTTACTTCTATGCGTATCCAAAATATCTTCAGAAAGCGGGCAAAGTTTTCGGCGCTGTTTGTTTTAAATTATTTTTAATGACAGTCCTAACGCAATTGTCTTCAATTTTATTGTTTAGCTTTTATTTTCACGTAATTATGCGAAATCGGGACTCTTAATTTATTTTCTTATTTCTATGTTAATTTAACTGTTGTCCCTTTAAAGCATAAAACAACAAAAAAGTTTCGAATCTTCTAAATTTCGATGAGCTCGCAGATTGTTTTCTTGTTGGCTGCATGTTAGATGATTTGTTTGTCTTAGAAAGTTGGCCCACGATTTCATTTTCAATTTGTAACATCGCCTACAGCTGCATCCTGAGCCTGTTGCAATTTACGCTGGCTCACAGCAACTTTCTTGTTCTGGGCCTTGGCTCCAGTCTTGGCTGTGCCTTTGGCTTACTTAGAAAAGATGGCAAGGAGCAGGTAAATTTCTGTGCACATTTTCTACATTAGTCAACATTAAAAATTTATTTGCTTTGAGTAGATTACACGCATACAGCACGTTATGGATAAGGAGAGCCAGCAGGAGCAGAGTGCGCGGAGACAAGAGCAACAGTAAGTAACTGAGGTCTAACTTTTTGCGTATTCCCTTATAACCCACACAGAAGATGTAAATAAATGGTAAGAAAATAAAGAAAAAGAACAGAGAGCATAGTGCCCGCGAGCACAAATGAGCTGCCAGCAAATTAAGTGCAGCTGGCAGCTTCGCTTTGGCTCGGCAACTACTTTAACAAACTTTTAATACTTGCTACGCTTTAAGTTTTCCATTAAAAGTCGCGCCTTAAATGAATCCCTGAATCCATTGCGGCCCAGCACCTTGTATACCAGGACTTAATGACGCCAGCCAGCCAGCACATAGTTAATCACCAATGGCCACCGCAGCAGCTGTAGCCTCGATTCGAATTGAAACATGTTTTCAATTCAACGCCCAGCTGAGCGAGAGAATTATTGCCAACAGGTGAAGCTCCGGGCGCTCAGATATGTGTTAAATTTTGTGTGAAAATTGTTGTTCGAAGCGGGAATGGGAAATTATTCACAGAGATGAGTCAACGCCTCCCAATCGACTGTGCGTTTTAAACTTTTTCTATGTGTAGTTTTTTATTGTGTCGCACAATATATATAATCAAAGACAAATAAAACAATATATATGTATGCATACGATTTAATATTTTATATAAACTTAATTGCTTTTTGCAGTATGCATGGGTTTTTCGAGTAGAAAATAAATAATTGTCATGAATCATTTTTTCTGAGATGCGATCGAATAACTTAAATTTAAACTTATTGAAATTCAGAGCTTCTCAATATTTTAATAAATATATTGAAAAATATCTCATTTGACTGTTAGCATAACTAATGTTGTAATACGTAATAATAAATATTTTGTAAGCTCTTTTATTAAGAAATATATCTTATTTATATATTAATATCACAAATGTCATAAATAACAAGCAAAATTTGCACGGCAAGCAGTTAGGCAAAATGCAATTTAAGCCAGAGAATAATGCCAATTTAGTTGTTAGCTGTG